CCCCTCCCCACGGGCGCCCGCAGCTTGCCCGCTCCGGCCGGTCGGTGCCTCCAGCCGCCCCGGAATGAACTGCGTGGAAGCCGCCCGCTCCACGAATGTGCATTCCGGTGCTCTTGGATATCCTGCCCTTAAACTTCTTGAAGTGCTGGTATCCCTAGAGTAGCTTCCTCTACTCTTTGGGGGCTCCAATTGCCCACTGACGCAACATTTTTAGGGGATAAGGGAGCCTAAAAATGAAGATACTATGTGCTTCAAATTCTTTCGCCTAGCTTTTTTTTTTTTTTTAATTGGTGGCCTTTTTTGACTCAGTTTCCACATTTCCGCACCTCCTTACACAGCTCAGCTGAAAGTTCACACCTGTTAGCATATTAGCCGTTTAAAACTATTTTCAGTTCAACTTAGATGTGTTCACAGTCTACAGCGGAATTTAGGTGAATGCACCTTGTTAGCAGTAGTCAGGGAAAGTTTTAATTGAAGGGGAGACCACGTTTTCTTCGGCTGCGACGCTTGCGAACTTCCACAAATAAGATCAAAGCAGAATAAATTTATGACTTGTCTTCTAGAATCTACATCAATACTGTAAGCATTATGATGGAGATACTTTGAATATTTTAACAATACTAAAGCTCTTTCCCAAAGCAAGGCCTTTAGAAAAAAATACTAGAAGAGAGAGAGAGAGAGAGAGAGAGAGAGAGAGAGAGAGAGAGAGAGTGTGTGTGTGTGTGTGTTATATTACCATTGTGGCAGAAAAACTATAAAGGGATGCTTTGCTGGCACTAAATGCTCAAGGAAGTGCCCACTGGCGCAGCCTTTTTTGAGAAAGGTTGGGGGAAGAGGATCCTAAAAAAATGTACATAGCATTTGATCAGCACTTTTAAAGCTCCAAAAGGTAATGGTGGCTGCAAAAGTGCTCAATATTGTATTGCTGTATACAGTGTCCTTTTAAAAACGTTGATCATGGTGAGGAAAACTAAATATCCATCAATGAATAATAGCCACCATTTAACAAAGGCTACATTTATCTAACACTTTACATATGTCTTCCTATTAAGCTCCTTCAGAATTATAATGCCCTAGTTTGCTTTTGTCGCCCAATAGCCTTATTGAGATATAATTAACAACCATACAATTCATTCATTTAAACGGTACAATTCAGTAGTGGAGATTTGTGCAATCAATTTTAGAACATTTTCATCACTCCCAAAAGAATCCCTGTACCTGTTAGCAGTCATTCCCCATTTCACACCAACTCTCCAGGCCCTAAACCAGCCGTCTGCAACCTTTTTGGCACTAGATCCCGGTGCTCCTGTGAGAATCTAATGCCTTATAATCTGAGGTGGAGTTGAGGCGGTGATACTAGCGCTGGGGAGCAGCGTTAAGTACATATGAAGCTTTGCCTGCTGGCCTGACACTCACCTCCTGCTGTGCAGCCTAATTCCTAACAGGCCACAGAACCAGTATTGATCCCTGACCCAGGGGTTGGGGATCCCTGCCTATACAACCATTAATTTAATTTCTGTCTCTATAGATTTGCCTAGTCTAGACATTTCATATAAATGTAATTACACAGTACGTGGTCTTTTATTCTTTCAGTTAGCATAATGTCAAATTTCATCCATGTTGTGGCATGTATCACTACTCATTCCTTTTTATTGTCAAATGTATCAGCATATGGATACACTATTCATTTATTCATTCATCCCACAATAGACATTTGGGTCATTTCTACTTTTTTAGCAATTAAGAATAATGCTGCTATGAAGAACACTGTACAAGTTATTGTATTGGCAGATGTTTTTATTTCTCTTGTATATACATCTAGAATTGTAATTGTTGACTCATTTATGTTGGCTCATAAAGTACTCCATGTTTAACATTTTGAGGAATTGACAGACTCTTTTCCAAAGTAGCTGCACTCCAACCAGCACTGCATGAGGATCCTAGTTTTGCTTTATGGGGCGCAAGTGTGTGCTCATGCGCACGCCCTCTCTCTCGCTCTCTAGCTCGCTCTCTCTTGCTCTCTCTCGCTCTAGCTCTCACTCTCGCTCGCTCTCTAGCTCTCTTGCGTGCGCGCTCTCTCTCTCTCTCTCTCTCTCTCGCTCGCTCTCTAGCTCGCTCTCTAGCTCTCTTGTGTATTGTTTTGTTTCTCAATGTGAGTGACTTCAGGTAGGACTGCTGAAGTTCCATTTGGACACAGGCTAAAGTATTCTGTATTATCTGAACTTTCAAGAATAAAGATTGGTCCTCTTCAGGTCTTGCGTGCTAAAAACATTTTAATTTGGACCCTCCCCCGGTTCTCACTAACACTTTACTACTCCTGCTAGGTAGACCTTGTGTCCAGTAAGCAATTGAGATTTATAGCAATCAACCATTTGTCTAAGATCACACAATTTCTAAGTAGTAGTACTAGGACTTAAGTCCTCCCTTTTCCATTTCCATAGCCTACATCAATGACCCGATTAGCTGCCCCATGTTATATTCATGACAGAATATTACACAAACTTCAAAATTTTGGTGTAGATTTATTTTTACTTACATCATCTTGAACAGATGTTCATTATTAAAAGGAAAAGAAAGTCCATTATAGCTCAATAAAACTGAGGAAAAAAGTAAAAATTAAAAATTTTTAAAGGAAAAGTAATAAACCATGTATAATCAGATTTAAAATATTTTTTGTGTGTGTTGTAGATAGATAAATCAATAGTCTAGAAGTTAATAATGTATATTTCAGAAGATGGACTTATGGTCAATATAAACGTCTATATTTTTTGCACTGTCTGAATGAATTTTTTGAAATGAGCATATCAAAAATAAAGTATTTTTATTTTTAAAACATTCTACCATGGACTATTTGGCAGCCATTAGAGATGATGTTTTAGAAGAGTATATGTTGACATGTGAAAATGCTCATGTTAACTATAAAAAGAAGACTGTCGAATACTGTTTATGGAATCAATTTTGTACAAAAAAATGTACACATGTATTGCCTGAAAACATATTGTAAAAATTTTTCTCAAAGTGCTAACTGGTTATCTTAAGGCAGTGGCATTATGAATGATTATTTTTCATTGTTTTCTATGTTCTGCAAGTTTTCTGCATTGAAAAGTAAAACTATTTCTAATTTTAGAAAATTATAAATTAAATAGGAAAATATTCTTTAAAGATAGAATTAAACACATAATGAAGACTTGTATACACAGTTACTGGAACACTAAGAACTTAAGATTTTCGTGCCACTACATTTAATGAGTCGTCTTAATGAAATGTGATACAGAGACATGCTATCAACATTTTAAATCTCTCTGAAGTAATGCATTTAAAAATAATTTTAACTTGACTAAAGTAAAACTCTAGGTATATTTCTTTCTCAAAAAGCAAAGATCTAGAAAGTCTAAAATAACTTTTAATGCTTCAACCAACAGTTTCCAATACAAATTATGCCCTATTTTATAAGTAGCTAGTGAAAGACTCGAGTCATATTTAAAATATTTCAACTGTTGTTCCATAGGCATCTCTGAGTTTTTTATCACAAAAAATTATCAGACATTGAGTATGAGACTATTAAAAAATTACATTAAACTCAACTAATGAGTTCAGTTGTCTTGATATTGTAGAGTCCCTTGATTTATTTCTTATAATATAGGCAACGCAGGGTAAAGGAAGAAAGGAACCATACTGATTTTCTTTTGCAAGTGAGAAACTGAGCCTCATTCCTCCCTAGATCCTAACCTAATGTAAAGTTGAACTCAATGCAAAAAAGACCAGATCATATACCTGACTGAAGAATAATAAATAGAGTTAAGAGCATGGGCTCTAAATATAGATCACCCATTTCAAGTCCAGCTTTGTTTGTTATTTTCTATTTTGGACTAGGCATGAGCGAGAAAGAAGTTTTTATGAATGTTAAGCTTTCATAAAAACTTAATTTTAGGCTTGTTTAATATAACAGTTAGCAAAAAATGCATATCCCTACTACTTACACCAAAATAAATTCTGGTTGTAACAAAGATTTAAGTGTAAAAATAATTGTGAAAATACTGCAAATAAATATGGGTAAATTTTAAACTATTGTTTGTTTCTGCCATAACAAAATGCCCAGAAGCCAATGGGGAAAGACTTGTAAATTTAAATACATAAACATTTAAAACTTCTCAATGGAAAAAAAATTACTGTAAAGTCTAAAGATAGCCTAGAGAAAAAAAAATGACTAAATTTCTTACCAAACAAAGATCTCTTTCAAATTGTAAGGAAACACAAATAATCCCATAGAAAATGGACAAAAACATGAACAGTTGACATAATACTAAATATAAATGGCAACAAACATAGCAAAAATGTTCACAACTAAAACTCTCAACAAAAGAAATACATATTAAAACATAGTTTATATACCACATTTTTCCTCTCTGAATGATAAACATTTGAAATTTTGATAAAACAGTTTTAGAAAAAACTTGGAGAACAGCAATATCAAAACACCAGTTTAATCCCTTTGGAGATATTTTTCAGTGGTATCGATAGTTAAATTAATCATACCATTTAAGACAGCAATCCAATTTACAGGAATTTATTCTACAATATAGGAATTTATACTCAATAAAGTTGTAAGATTTAAAAAACTTACAGTCACAATTAAGAAAAAAATAAAAGAGGAAAGGAAATAAAAACCAGAAAAGAACTAAATGAACCCTTAATAGAACAGCAATTAAAACAAGTTAGTCCATAAAATTGATTAATATGTAACCATTTAAAGAAATGGCATAGGGCCAGAGTTCCCACAATGTGCACAAACAGGCACCAGGATGCAGCAATGCATTCATATATCTTGTAAACACAGTGATAAACACAGTGATAAACGC